GGCAGCGAGTGTAGCTGGTGTTGGTGCCGCCAGCGGGGTCACTTGTAACGCAGACACTGCCTTAGAAATGTTGGCCTTCTTTATCAACCCTTCCGCTCGCGCACACAGGCCTGCCTCGTCTGGCTGATGACGTGTCGGGGCTCCAGTTTCGGGGATCGCGCATGCCTCATTGTAGAGATCGGCCAGAGCCCCGAGCCTGAAGTGGTGCAGCCGAGTCTCAATCTGTATCCAGCGGTTCCCTTCCACCGGCTCTGGGAGGGGTCGAAGGGTCAAGCGGGGCAAGAACTGCAGCACAGTCCACGCCCCCACACAGTCTGGATGTGTAGCCAATCGCAGCAGTGGTGCCAGAAGGCACAAGGTGTAGCTCTCCAGAATCTTGGGGGGCAACCGCCTCACCAGAAACGGTTGGTCTGCTCGCTGGAGTGGCGCAATGTCCCAAGTGCTAGCCAGAAGCCAGATCGAGTCATCCTTAGCCAGGTCAGCGGGTGATTTCTCGGATGGCTGCGGTGGCACATCTGCGTCCTGTCCTGCTGGCATGTTGGAGGGATGTGGCATACCACCATGCTCCCTTCTCCGCCCTCGCCTCTGCGCTAACACATCCTGATTCTCATCATCGCCCAGGGAGACCTCCTCCGATGCCTCGGAGTGCGTCGGGATAAAGTCGCTCCCATTCTGGGAGTTATCAGAACCCTCCTCGCCCCCATTCGCTGGCGCAGCCACACGCTCTGGACGGTCGTGACGGACACGCCACGGGCCTGATCTCGCGATCGCAGCCTCTCCTCCCAGAAGAGCAACTCCCCTTCCGCGTGTCTCTCCCCTTCCCCCTCTCCCTCCTCCTCGGGGAACAGCGGGGGGTATGCCCGCGCCGCCGCCGCCCCTCGTGCTTTCCTGTGCAGACCTTAAACCCCTGCCAGCCGGGACCCAAGGGATCGCCATAGTAGCTCGGCCCGCCCCTGTCGGCCTGCCCCACACTATTCCCCTGCCCCTCGTCGAGCTCCGCGTTTCTCGGTGAGTTGCTTGCTGGGTCGCGGGCGTGAATTGGTTGCTGCATTGGAACTGACTGCTCGACTCCCTGTTGTGCTTGACCAGCCTCCCCCGTGTTGCTCCTTGCGCTGGGCCCCGCTGCAGGCTGTGGCGCTGATGATGACGAACGCGCTTGCCCTGGTGGCAACTGCCCTTGCCGAAGCCAGCCCAGGAGGGGTCTCTCTCTCTCTCTCTCTCTCTCTCTCTCTCTCTCTCTCTCTCTCTCTCTCTCTCTCTCTCTCTCTCTCTCTCTCTCTCTCCCTCTCTCTCTCAAGCGGTCCTTCATTGATGTAAAGGAGGGTACAGCCAGGGTGATAGCTAGTCCTGGCAAGCAAACAAGCAATCCTAGGATATGAGCAACCCTCAATCCTATGCAAGCAAGCATGGCCTTAGACACATGGCCTTAGTCCTAGGTAAGCACCCAAACCCCCTATCCACTTGTAGGGCCATCCACCCAGCCGCAGGCTCCCCTTGCCACCTCGTTAGCCTCCCTGGCCTTTACTCTCCCCAGCTCCAGTCTTGGGCGTATCCGCCCTCCAGGACCTGCCACAGGTCCCCCAGCTGTGGCTCCCACGGGTCAGAGGGGCCCTGTGAGTATGCTGCCTCCGCTGCCCTGTTCGACTTGGCGAGCAGGGCGTTGGCTTGGCAGCGCTGGAGGAGCACCGACCAACCCTGTCGGTAGTGGGCAGTGAGCCTAGAGGCAACCGTGGTTGACCTCCCCTGTCTGTACCTCTTCTTGGCTCCTGACGTGCCCAGGAGCCTGAAGAACCGCTGCGTACCCTTCGCCATTGCCCCGTACGATTCCACCGCCATGCCGAAGCATCCCACCCACCCGGGCCTTCCTGTGTACATGCCATGTTTTGTCCTTGCCGCCTCCTCCGCTGCCCATCCCGGCGGCTTCACCGCTTGCTTGTCCCGACGTTGTAGCACTGGGTCCGTCACGGTCACATCCACCACCGGGGTTTCTCCTGACTCCTTGTCACGAATGATCAAATCCGCCCGTTTTTGGTTGGTTATGGGGCTGAAAATGGCCGATTCGTGCAAGGTAAGGAAGTCTGCTTCCCTTGCCATGCGGAGGGCTGAGTACACCAGTGCGTTATGCGTTGTTGTGCGGTCTCCCCCTTCCGCACACCTCAGCAGGTGGTTCGGGAGGCTTCTGTCCCCTATCTTCGCCCTCCTCCCTCGGCAAGGGCAGTTGTCCGTCACTGCCAGTGTGAGTCCAAGGCGGAGGCCTATTGCTAGCGCGAACTGCCCCGGGGAGAAGGTAAGGTCCGCTCGCGTTGGTATGGCATGCAGCCAATCCCCCGCGCCTGCTCCTTGGAGGCTCAGCAGACGTAGGACGTGGCCATTGTCCGCGCCCGGTTTGTCCACCCTCGTGTCCCCTAGGAGTTCCACCGCCCGCTCTGTATTGATGTGTCGTGACAGAATCAGCTGCAGGTGTCCCTTCCCATCATCTCGCTCGAGGTATGCCCGTAGTGCCGCTTGAGCCGAAGCTGGTAGGCGCACCCACATGTCCCTTCGGATGTCCTCCCTGTTGGGCCTCTGTTCCCCTGGCTCTAGAGACACGAGCCGTGCTGTACTGATCATGGGGTTGCCTGGCGCCAGGGGGAGCTGCCGTAGGAGTGTGTGGGCCGCCGTCAAGGACGCGAGGTACGCTGCTGGGGCTTCGGAGAGCGGGTCTATCAGGCCCAGGCCCCCTAAAGCCACCGGTAATGTTGCCTGGCGCCATAGGAGGCTCTGCTCCATCTCGTCCGCCGGCAGGTAGAGGTGCGCCGCTTGGAGGACCGTCTGGAGTAGTCGCTCGCTCCAGTCGCGCCATTCCGCCAGCGAGATGAGGTCGGCCGGTGTCGTGCGGAGCAGGTACGACGCTCTCCTCGAGATGCAGCGGGAATGGAGGAGCATGGCGTGCTGGGGGTGGAGTCCACTGATTAGGTCCAGGGGCGCGGCGATCTTCTCCAGCGCTGTCCTCACGAAGTTCCTCCCGAAGGCCGCCGATCCAATCGGGCTTCCTAGGACTTTGATGCCGTCCACGGCCGCTACGAGTCCAGCTGGTAGGTTGTCAAGCACACCCGCCGGGCTCCACGCCGATGATTTCGCCAAATTGCATCGTAGCCCGTGGGTGCGTAGTTCGTTGGTGATCAGCACCATCGCTCGTCCCGCCGATGCAGGGTCTCCTACCAGAGTGATATCATCTGCATAAGCCATCACCACTACCGATGGGAATTCATCCGCGGCCTTGAGAAGCGTCGGTTGTATAGCTGCCGCGAAAAGTGTCGGTCCCAACGGGTCTCCCTGTCGCACTCCCCTCGTGCTCTCGATGTGGTTTGAGGAGAACCCCTTGTCTAGGAGCAGGGGGGAGGGGCTTTCGTATAGCGTGCGCACAAAGGGTACCATGGGGTGAAGTCCCGACCATCTGAGCGATGTGAAGAAGCTCTGGCGCTCTACCGAGTTGAAGGCATTCTCAATATCTAGCTGCAGCGCAACTCGGTCGGGGTCATCCTTAAGTAGTGCTCGTGTCGAGTGGATAATACACTCCGCTCCTCCTGAGACCGAGACTCCGAACTGCACCGGTAAAAAATAATTTCTAATATGTGGCGTGAGCTCCCGTAGTGCGATCTTGGCCGTCAGTCGAGGTAGTGCTTCTCCTATAGCTATTGGTTGCACACCTCCATCGGGCTTCTCCAAGGCTATCACTCGGGAGGGCAGTAAGAGCTCTCGAATACTTTCTGGTTGCTCCTTGCCAAGCAGATTGTTGACGACTTCTAGCAGTAGTGTGAGCACTTCCCCATTTGCTAGCGCTGGTTTGCGAAGGTGCTCGAAACAAGTTCCAGTAGGGCCCGCGCCGATTCCGTTTGGGCATTTCGCCAGAACTTCGCGTAGCTTGTCGAGCGTTGTGGCGAGGGTTGACGCCTTGAACCCGGTTACCCAGCCCGGAATGGCAGTTGTCGCCTACGGGTGTTTTGCGTGGAGAGCCGCGAGTGTTGTCGCTTATGGTTCCACGAGGGGGGAGGACTGTAATGCTGCGACTGCTTTGGCGAGATTCGCTTTTTGTACCAGCCCTTCAGCTCTCGCCCGAAGTTCCTCGGGGTCTGGCTGGTGTCTGGCCGGTTTGGGGTCTTCTGGTACGGTTTTGGCTTGCATGAACAGTAGCTCCCATTTTTCCAGTAGGAACTTTTGCAGTCTGCTCTCGATCTCCTGCCAGTGATTTTGGGGTCAGGGGGTCAATGTCGGCGCGGAGTGTCAAATGTGGCAAAAAGAGGAGTACCCGCCAAGCTCCAGGGCACGTAGGATTTTTCCTCAGTCGCTGGAGCGGGATGACGAGGCACGCCGCAAATGAATCCACCACCCCAGGTGGCATTCTCCTTGCCAGGAAGGGTTGTTCACTGCTTCGCAGGTAGTCTACCTCCCATTCAGCCACCTGTCGCCAGATTTCCTCGTCCCTTGCTATCACTTCCGGTGGGCGCATGTCCCTCACTTCCGCGCCAGCAGGTGGGCCTATTGGGGCCACACGTGGCGGATCCCTGTGCTGTTGCTCCCCTCCTGTCCGCCCATTTCCTCCCCTGCGTGCTCTCCCAGATCTCGCGTTCCCCTGGTGGTTACCCACCCCAGGCTCATCTTCCAGTGAAACCTCTTCCGATTCTCCTTCCTCAGATGCCATATAGGCCTCCTCCTCGTCGTTGTCAGCATCAACCGGCCCATCAGCGCCTCCTTCTTCTGGCACCACCTCTGGTCTCCCGTGTCTTTCCCGCCAAGGTCCGGATTGGACTCGTTCCCGCGCGTTTGACTGCCCTTCTTCGTTGCACCCGTCACTGTGCCCCCGCGCGCCCTCTTGCTCAGCCTTGCGCTCTGCCCCGCGTCCTTCCCACCGCACTTGGCGGTCGTAAAACTTCCCCTTCTGGTAACTCGGGCGCTTCCTCCTCCTCCGCTCTCGCCGATGACGGGTAAGGCCGCGAAGGCCCCTCGCCGTGAGGTCGTGGTTAGTAGGTCTGGCACTCCCACCCCCGAAGGGGGCCAAGGAGGCCAGGTGCCAGCCCTGCTCTGAGCCGCCGCGGACTTGGTTGAAGCCGAATCGAGCGGCGGATCGAGGCGTGGGCGGCGTCAATCCCCGGACTCCCGACGCCCTGTGTATCACCCGCCACCCGGTCGAACGCCGTACTACCTCCGCCCACGGGGTCAGCCGCTCCGTCATCCCCGGTGTCCCCGCCATCAACCCTGGCGGCCGAGGCCATTTCCTCCTCATCGGCAGGTCCCTCCGCCGCCGCTTGTGCCGGCGGTGCCTCCGCCTTCGGTTCCTCCCCCACTGTCTCAGCCACCGCCGGCGCTGGCCCTGCCTGCGCTTGCCTCACTTCAGATACAGCCGGCGCCTGTGCTTCCTTCCGCACCTCCTCCTCCACACCCGCCGTCGGTTTTGCCGGCGCAACCCCAGCTCCATGTTGCGTCGGCGCTTCTTGTTGCGCCGTCTGTCTCAGCCCCTCCCGCGGCTCCGGCTCCACCGCCGCCCACTCCTCCCGTCCAGCAGCCTCAGCGCCAGCATCCTCTTGTTCCTCGTCCCCGTCCTGCCGCTGCTTGCTGGGGTGTGGTGAGTCTGGGACCTCCGTCACCAGCAGAGGTCCCCCCGTATTTGGCGCTTTCCCGTCTGTTGACCCAGCTTTCCCTGCTGTTGGCTTTCCGTGTGTGTTCTCTCCCTGTCTATTGTGATGTACTCCTTGCTCATGTCTGACTCCTCGTCGTGACTCCTGTCTAGGTGTCGTCGCAGCCAAACGAGCGCCACCGCGGCTGGGACGAGTTTGAGACGCCCGGGACTGCACGAGATCCGCAGCTAGAGTGGTGGAACATGGGCTGGCCAAATTTTTCCCGCGAGCCTGGGTGGGGGCAAGGGTGGGGTCAGACCCCAGGCGAGGCCGAGTATCTTGAGCGCGGGGAGCGCCTATCTCAGTTCGGGTGCTTCGTGACGCGCCTTGCGACGGTGCTTGAGCAATATCACCTTGCCGTGCAGAGTCGGCTGCTCGTCGCCCGTGACCCTCAGCTTGATGAAGTTCAACAGGGGCTTGTTCGAGGGGCATTGTCGGAGGCGATGTGGGAGCTGCTCCACTTGCCGCTAGATCCGGAGGATGTTGAGCTTGATGATGGTCCTGGCGCCTTGGCTTTCCGCAGGGTAGCCACGACGGCTGAAGAGTCGCCGCTGGATCTCGTCCCTGCGATCGCGTCTTTGCTCCAGTGGGTTGGGAGGCGTGTGAGGCTGATGTAGTGGCCCCTCCAGCTTTTGCCGCCGGCGATTGCTTCTTTCTCCCCATTATCGGGACTTACCTGTGCCGGATTTTCCGGTTGCCTAGTGGGCCATGTTGTACCGTTGTCTTAGTATGCACGTTGCTGCTTTCTGGTTCTAGCCTTGCTTCCTTGTCACACCCGCCGGTTTTTGGAGAGTGAACCCAACTCACCATTGAATAATGAGCTCAAAGGACTGGATCCAGGTGCTTTATACTAAGGAAACTAGGCTAAAAACGGCTAAGGACTGGATCCTAAGCTAGAGAGGCCTAGAAACGGCTAAGGACTGGAACTAGGCCATCTCTCTCAAGCGGTCCTTCATTGATACTATGCAGGGTACAGGCAAGGCATGTAAGAAACACCAACAACTCTAACATGCAGTCTAGGTATCCAAACAGCAAGCAAGCAACAGACAACAACAACTTGTGACAAGCTTGCCCGTCGGCCAGAGAAGCCATGAGGCCTACCTAGTGCCTACTCCCCTAGGGCCGCAGCCTGGGGTCACCTCACCCTCCAGCCTCCTCACTCCAGCCCCCTTACCCCGGCCCCTCACCCATCCAGGACCGGCCCCCAGTCCAGTTCGTCCTCCAGGACCTGCCAGATGTCCCCAAGGCGGGGCTCCCACGGGTCGACTGGGGCCTGGGGGAACGCCCGCTCTGCAACCCTATTCGACTTTGCCAGCAGGGTGTTGGCCTGGCTGCGCTGGAGCATCACTGACCACCTCTGTCAGTAGTGTGCGGTCAGCTTCGAGGCCACTGTGGTGAGCCTCCCCTGTCTGTACTTCTTCTTGGCCGCCTGGGTGCCGAGAAGTCGGAGGAACCTCTGGGTGTCTTGTGCTAAGGCCCCATAGGTCTCAACCGCCAGCCCGAACACCCCCACGAAGTCTGGGCGCCCTTCATACAGCCCCCTCTTCCCCCTTGCCGCATCCTCAGCTGCCCAGCCGAGACGCTTCACAGCCCGTGTGTCTCGGCGTTGCAGTACCGGATCTGTCACTGTAACGTCAGTGACGAAGGTCTCGGCCGACTCCCTGTCCGTGATGACCAGGTCCGCTCGCTTAGGGTTGACTATTGGCGAGTAGACCGCGGTCTCATGCATGGTCATGTAGTCGGCCTCTCTGGCCATCCGTAGTGCTGCATACACCAGGCTGTTGTGCGTCTTTGTCCTGTCCCTCCCTTCCGCGCACCGCAACAGGTGGTTTGGGAGGCTGCAGTCCTCTATCTTCGACCGTGCCTTGCCGCAAGGGCAGTTCTCCGTTACCGGCAGGGTCAACCCCAGCTGGAAGCCGAGGGCGATAGCAAACTGCCCTGGGAAGAAGGTCAGGTCCGCACGTGTGGGGATTGCATGAAGCCAGTCCCCCGCCCCCGTCCCCTGCAGGGCGATCAACCGGATGACGTGACCGTTGTCCTCACCCCGCTTGTCAATCCGCATGTCGCCAACCAACTCTGCCGCACGGTCCAGGTTCACATGCTTGGACAGCTGCTCCTGCAGGCGGCCCTTCCACTCCCTCTTCTTGCCGGCCTCCTTCAGTACCTCCCGCGCCGCTTCCGGCAACCTGCTCCTCAGGTCCTGTAAGGCCGTTCTCCCTCCGCTCCCGCCTCCATCCTCATGCGGCGACAGCAGTGCCGCCACGTGCTGGAGTGGGTGGTAGGGCGTGCTAGAGGCCTTCAGCAGGAGTGTCTGCGCCACGTTCAGAGAGGCTAAAAACGCAGCTGGCGCCTCCGAGAGCGGGTCGACCAGTCCCAATCCCCCCAGGGCGATCGGCAGTGACGCTTGCCTCCACACCAGGCTCTGCTCGATCTCCTTGGAGGGTGTGTGCAGGTGGGCCGCCTTGAGGGCAGTCCACAGGAGCCTCTCGCTCCATTCTCTCCATTCGCGCCGTGGTAGCACATCCGCAGGTGTCGTGCGAAGCAGGTACGAGATTCTTCTGGAGATGCACCGTGACAGCAGTAGCAGGGCGTGTTGTGGGTGAAGCTTGCCGATGAGGCCGAGCGGTTCCGCCGTAGATTCCAGTGTCGCCCTTACCACGCGTCTGCTGTAGGCTAAGGTCCCGATGGGGCTTCCCAATAACTTTATGCCATCAACCGCCGCCACCAGTCCGTCCGGGAGGTTTCCGGTGCTTCCCGAGGGACTCCACGCCGTCGACTTGGCTAGGTTGCACCGGAGACCGTATCCCATTAGTTCGCCGCAGATCATGTTCAGCGCCCGCGTTGCATCCGCCGGTTTGCCGATGATCGTGATGTCGTCTGCATACGCCATCACGGTCACTGTGGGCACTGCTTCCGCTGCCGTGAGCAGTGCTGGTTGTATAGCAGCGGCGAAGAGCATGGGGCCGAGCGGGTTGCCTTGGCGCACCCCTTGTGCACTATCGATCGACGCCACTTCGAACCCGCTGTCGAGGAGTAGTTTCGACGGTTTGCTGTAGAGGGTTCGTACGAGCGCTAGTAACAGGACAAGGCTCGTCCATCTCATTGACTCTAAGAAACACCCGCGTTCGACCGTGTTGAATGCATTCTCGATGTCCAGTTGGAGCGCTATCCTGCTCGGATCCTCGGCGAGGAGCGTGCGCGCCTTGTGGATTATGCACTCCGCGCCTCCCGCGACGGCCACGCCGAATTGCACAGGTAGGAAACAGGACCGGATTTCCGCGGACAGCTCCCTGAGTGTCGCCTTGGCTGTGAGCCGAAGGATCGCCTGGCCTATGGCTATGGGCCTCACGCCGCCTCCTGGCTTTTCTAGTGCTATCAACTTGGCATGGAGTAGTAGTTCTTGCAGCTGCTCGTTCTGGTAATTGTTGAGCAGCAGGTTCACTGTCTTGTGGAGCAGAGTGAAGATTTCCCCGTTTGTTAGAGCAGGGTCGCGGAGGTGTTCGAAACACGTGCCTGATGGGCCTGCTCCAATTCCGTTCGGGCACTTCGCCAGTACTTCGCGAAACTGCTCCGCCCCAATGGCGAGTGCCGATGTGGTGTAACCCCTTTGTGCCTTCGGGTATCGCTGATTCCGCAGCTGGGTGTTTCGAGCGGAGTGCCTCCAGTGTTGGCTGCGACGTTTCCGCCAGCGGCGATGTTCGCAGTGCTGCCACTGCCTTCGCCAGGTTTGCTTTCCGGACCAGCCCTTCTGCCCTGGCACAGATGCCCTCTAGATCCGGCTCGTGTCTACTGGGTTTGGAGTTTGCCGGGAAGGTGCTGGCCTCAAGGTACAGTGAATCCCAATCCTCCTCACGAAATTGCTGTAGACGCTTCTCCACAGCTGCCCACTTGTTCCCGGGAGTTTTTTCCAGGCTCGCCCTAAGTGTCAGTCTCGGCAGAAACTGTAGGATTCGCCACGCGGCTGGGCAGTTCGGATACTTTGACAACCGCAGCAGCGGGATCGTGAGGCAGAGGCTAAAGTTCTTCAGGATTTCCGGCGGAAGCTTCCGGACCAGGAAGGGTTGGGCGCTAGATTGAAGTGGTCCCAGATCCCATGCATGAATCCGCTGCCAGGTGGCCTCGTCTTCCACGATAATGCTGGGATCTCGCTCCCTGCTGGCAGCCTCGTTAGGCTGCTGCGGCCCTGATTCTCCCACGTCTGCTGGGGCCTCCCCTCGCTCCCGTCCGATTCCTCCAGCCCAATTTGTGGTTGGGACGGGCACCCCCCGCTCAGCCTCCAATGAGGCCTCCTCTGATTCCGCATCCTGTGAGGCCATATATTCTGACCCGCCCTCCTCTTCTCCTTCATTCATTGGACCCTCAACCTGCTCCTCTGGCCTCTCATGCCTTTCCCGCCAGTTTCCAGATCTGGCTTTCTCCCTCGCCACCGCTCCCGCCAGATCTCGAGGACCTCTCCCCCCGTTCCGTCCCCTCCCTCGGCCCCTGCCCGCCGCCCTTGGTGCCGCGTTTTGCGGCTGCAGGCCTGCCGCCCGTTCGTCGGCCTGGTCCTGGAGCGCCCTTTGACGGCTCGTGCCAGTCCGTTGCCTGCGTTCTGCCGTGTCGCCGCGCCGTTCTAGCGTATCCTCGTGGTCCGCCCCCACCGCTATAACAGCCTCCGCCTCGTGTGTCCCTTCCGCTGCGTCCGCATGCCCGTTCGATGACGGGCAAGCGACGCCCACACCAGGCGCCGGAGCGTCCGGCGAGTCCTCTTGCTGCTCCCACCCCGCAAGGGGCCCAGGGCGGGCAGGTCCCAGCCCTGCTCCGAGCCGCCGCGGATGTGGTTGCGGCCGGAGTAGGTGGCGGTGTTTCGCAGCCTCCTCCTCCCTCGCCGGCCCCCCGCCAGCAGATGTTCCGGTTCTCCCGTGGCCGGGCACCTCCCCAACTGCGACCTCGCGGGCAGAACTTTCGCCGTCGTCGGCCGCCTCGTCCCCAGCGCCCACACGGGCCTCAGGCGTACCGCCCGCTTGGTCCGTCAGCTCCGCCCCAAGTGGCGCAGTCCCAGCCCCTGCAGCTTCCGCCACCGATGTCACAGTCTTCGACATCGCAGCAGCAGCCGTCCTCGGCCTCAGAGCCGGCACCGCGGCCGTTGGCCCAGTCGTTGGCGTCCGCGCCAAGTTCTCATCCGCCACCACCGCCACACCTGGCGACGGAGGGGATTCAAGCGCCGCCGCAGCCGCCGCCGCCCGTGTCCACGCCACCCGAGCCGGTACCCCTTGCGCCGGCATCCCTTCCCGTGGCCCATTCTCCGCCCCCAGTTGAAGACCCTGCTCCACCGTCGCTACCTCCTGAGCTGCGTCCCCGACGACAGCACCCGCTCGTGCCGACCGTCCCGCAGGCAGCCTTCTGGTTCCCACCTCCTTGTTATCCCTACCCCCGCGGTTGGGATTCGCCTGTGCGTTCCCCATCCGCTCCCGATCCCGACCCTGGCTGGACCCCTTACCCACCGTGGGGTGTGGAACCGGACCTGGACGTGTGGGGACGACAGTGGGGCGAGGAGCCGAGCTACCACGACCTTTGTTTGTGGGAGCGGCGGATGCATGGTGTAGGGGCGTGTTTGTCGCATGTGGCGACGGTGTTGGAGCAGTTGAATCACGCGATGCGCCGCCGGAATCTGGCTTCGCGGGACCCGCAGCTGAGCGAGTTCGAGCAGGGGGTGGTGAGGGAGGCCGCTGCTCAGGCGATGTCGACGATGCTCGGCCTGCCCCTTGAGCCTGAAGACCCGGCGCTGAACGAAGGACCTGGAGCGACTGCTTTCCGCAGGGTAGCCATGGCCGCCGAGGAGGCGCCCCTTGAGATAGTACCCGCCCTCGCGGGTGCCCTCTGTTGGATGGATCGGTGCATGTTTCTGATTGCTCGTCCGTAGTTGATGCTGCCCCCCCGGTTTCCTTAGCGTGTTGCCTCTTCTTCCCCATTGCTGGGGACTTACCTGGCCTGTAGGGTGTGTTAGGCCTGTTGCCACTGCATGTTGTATTCCGTCATTTGCACTTGCCTTCCCTTTGATGTTCTTGCCAAACTTGTGCGCGGCCGAAGGCCGCGCTGTCGAGCGTCGGCCGCCGGTTTTTGGAGAGTAGATTGAACTCACCAGAAAATAATGAGGAGGAAAGGACTCACCTAGGGCTTATATACTAGGCTAACAGGCTAAGAGAGGCTAAGGAGAGGCTTTGAGAGGCTAAGGACTGAGATCCTAGTGCCTCTCTCTCTCTCTCTCTCTCTCTCTCTCTCTCTCTCTCTCTCTCTCTCTCTCTCTCTCTCTCTCTCTCTCTCTCTCTCTCTCTCTGGCTCTCTCTCGAACGAGCCGCCGGTTTTTGGAGAGTGAACCCAACTCACCAGTGAATAATGAGCTCAAAGGACTGGATCCAGGTGTTTTATACTAAGGAAACTAGGCTAAAAACGGCTAAGGACTGGATCCTAAGCTAGAGAGGCCTAGAAACAGCTAAGGACTGGAACTAGGCCATCTCTCTCTCTAATGGTCCGTGTATTGATATAGCCAAAAGGGGTACAGACAAGCAAGCAAGGTATAGAAACTACGATAAAAACCGAGACAACTAAACCAAACAACCAAATAACCAAACAAACAAACAAGCACCCAACTACCTACCCTCCTTCCCCCCCCCCCCCCCCGCCCCGGCATCTCTCTCTCTCTCTCTCGCTCTCTCTCGAACGAGCCGCCGGTTTTTGGAGAGTGAACCCAACTCACCAGTGAATAATGAGCTCAAAGGACTGGATCCAGGTGTTTTATACTATGGAAACTAGGCTAAAAACGGCTAAGGACTGGATCCTAAGCTAGAGAGGCCTAGAAACGGCTAAGGACTGGAACTAGGCCATCTCTCTATCTCTCTCTCTCTCTCTCTCTCTCTCTCTCTCTCTCTCTCTCTCTCTCTCTCTCTCTCTCTCTCTCTCTCTATCTCTCTCTCTCTCTCTCTAATGGTCCTTGTATTGATATAGCGGCAAGGTACAAGCATGCAATGTATGGATGAAACAAACAAGGCACCAAATCCTACTCACTATTCCTCTAGAGCTCCAAGAAGGGCTCTACCACCGCAAAACAGTCCCCGAGGTGTAACTCTTGACCAATACCCCCTACAGGCGGGTTCTCTGCTGCTGCCGCCTCGCCCAACTTGAGCAGAAGACCCACTGATTGGGCCCTCTGAAGGGCCACTGACCATCGCTGCCGAAACTGGTGCAGGAACTTGGCGGCATAAAGGGATTTGGAGTCGGCGTTGACACGGTGGGCTTTTTCCCCCTTGCTGTTGAGACCTACGGGTGCCCGTGTGCGGAGGTGCCCGTGTTCCTGAAACTGCTGGCGGACTCTGCTGCTAGGCGTCACTTCAACGCCGAACCTAACTCATTTCATGCAGCCAGATTCCTCCATCTTTTCAGGCAGAGGTGGTCCGTGGCGCTGCAGAGGGCCCAGTCAGTGGGGTTCCTCATGAAGACGTGTCAAGCCGCTATGGCAGAGCACCCACCTGTTGGGGGGATGCAGCAGGAGCTCCACCTAGGTGATTGCCTCACCGTGATTGAACCTCTGGTGGAGGTTTAGGGAAAGGTGACAAAAGTGTTGGTTAGGATGTGTGGTAGTATGTTTCTTAGTGTGCCCATAGGCTTGTCTAATCTTTGTCATCTTACTTGCATGCTTGTACCTTGCTGCTATATCAATACACGGACCATTAGAGAGAGAGAGAGAGAGAGAGAGAGAGAGAGAGAGAGAGAGAGAGAGAGAGAGAGAGAGAGAGAGAGAGAGAGAGGGGAATAGCCTTCAGCCCTCTTCCCTCAGCCTTCAGCCCTCTGCCATGACTATTTAAGGGTCCTTCTCGTCCCCTCTTCCTCATTATTCTGTTTGGTTCCCAAAAATTCGGCTCGCTCGAGAGAGCGAGAGAGAGACAGAAGGGACTAGCCTTCAGCCCCCTTCCCTCAGCCTTCAGCCCTCTGCCATGACTACTTGAGGGTCCTTCTCGTCCCCTCTTCCTCATTATTCTGTTTGGTTCCCCAAAATTCGGCGCTCGCGTGCGCGGCCTCCGGCCGCGCGTTAGGGGCGACAAGAGGAGAACAATCATGACAGACGGCACGACATCCAGTAGAATCATGACAATCAACGACAACTAGGCAAGGCAACATGGAGCGGGTCTACACACGCGCAAGGGGGGCGCCTACAAGCGGTCAGCCCCAAGCTCACCAAGCATTTCGCTCGTGGTCAACCACAACTGGCGGACCACTAACGCGGTGGCGCCGACAACGTCAACTGGAGTACCGAGACCTCCTACAAGCGTCTTCAGACCCAGGCTGGCCGAGGCTACTCCCGGCGAGGGCGCAACATGCAGTGGTGATACGTACGCGAATAGCGCTGACACCGCCGCATGACACTTTGCGCGCGGTTTCTGAGAGAACATACTCGGCGGGGTCACCGACATGGAGTCATGCGACTCCTGGAGAATCAGCTCAAGGCTCTGCATACTCTCCGCCAGCGACCACACGTGCGGTAGGGTCGCCGTGGGAACTTCCATCATCGGCGGTGGCATAGTAGAAGCGCGAGCACGGCAAGCCGACTCGGCAAGATCTCGAGGAGAATGACGGGGACGTGGCGGAACAAACTGGGCCCACGGCGGCCCGCCACCAGCGCCCACGAAGCCACTTCCCGCAGGCAGCGGCCGATCGGAGCGCGCAGGAGACCCCACAAGATCATGGGGCAGGAGCGCAGCCAGAGGAACGACAGGAGCAGCTGGTGGAGCGGATTGTGATGACGACCCCGCACGTGAGCGGTGGAGGGCCTTCTCTACGCCGTCCATCTTCTTTAGGACGCGCTCAATTGCGGACGGCGCTTGACGCACTGTTCCGCCGCGACCGGGACCTCCCCGCCGCCCGCGGCGCCCTCGACCGCTTGCGTTCGAGCGCACAAGCGATTGTTGGCGAGACGGGCCCCGCTGACGACGACGGTCAGGGGACCGGTCCCTGCGACGAGGAGAGTAGAGCCGCTGGCACTTTGCCGGCCGTGGAGAACGCGGAGCCGGGGACCGATGTCTTGAGGCGTGACGAGCCGGCAAGCAATGACGTGATGAGTGGCGAGCGGGCGAATGGTGACGATGCGACCGGCGATCACGTGACCGGCTCCTTGATGCCGCACGGCAAGGCGAACGAGGCGATCGAGGCAAACGAGGCTCAGCGGCGACTCCCCTGCCTATCGTCACATGCCGCCGACGAACGCCGACGAGGAGAACGCCCCTGGAGCGCCGCAGCCTCTGCGTCGGAGCGCACGACGGACCCCGCGCGTGCAAGCTGCCTTTGAGGCGAGGATCGACCCACACGCGGCGCCTGATCCCGCTGCGGATCCTCGAAGCGGCGCCTAATCTGATCAGCGGATGCCAGTGGAGCAACAGGCAGGGCGCGCAGGAGGGAGAGGATGGGGAGCGGGATTTCTCTCCGCGATACAATCGCGGTCTGGAGCACCAAGGAGATCCACCGGGGCGATGGGGGGATGGCGCTCGCCCAGCAGGTGGTCGGCGTAGTGGAGGGAGAGCTTCGGGTCGCGGAGGGAGAGCAGCAGGTCGCGGAGGGAGAGCTAGAGGATGAGGACCAGAGAACGTTTACCAGCAGGCGGGAAGGCGGGCTTTAAGGGAACTAAGTGATAATACTGGCTTGACTACCTCAAACAGCAGCTTTGTAGCAGACGAGTCCACGGACTCGACTTCGAGCTCTGAGTCCGTGGACGAAGTGCAATCACAGACACCTGCTCGAGCGAGCAGGGCAACCCCAACTAACGCCACAGGAGGGTATCCAGCTGTGAGATCCATTCGGAGGGGACCCCCAACACCAACTCGAGCCGCGTCTGGCAATGTTGCTGCAGCACCAATCCCAACCCCCGATTTCACACATTCCGACACCCCCTCGAGCCGCCCAGCAAAGTGCACCTGGCAGTAACCCCATCCCAACCCAACCGCGAGAAGATAAATCTCCTGAAACGCTTGCCAAGGACGACGCGCTATTTGCCAGCGTTGGGTCCTGGGATCTGACGAAATTGCGCGACAGTCGCCATGCACCATTATCCCGCCACCTCCCACAGACCCATCGCAAACTTTTCGCCACAGCCATGCTGGCACCCCTGCTGCGATTGGCGAAGGACTCACAACTTGCGTGGGTGGTCCTCCTATTTCTCGCACGACTGACACTTCGCCAGCTGTCACCAGGCGACCTGACTGGAACGCTGTCTGCAAGCGCCTCCGCCAGTTCCTGGCGGGAGAGTGGGACAAGCTCTACAGTGACACTGTGGACTCATTGTCAAGCCCCCAGCCACCCAGACACCAGCCCGACGACACTGGTGTTATTGCTAGAGCTGAGGGGTTGGCGCGACGTGGCAGCTTACGACGGGCTGTAATGGCCTTTGAAGCCACGCTAGTCTGCACACCATCCCCAACTGTGCTGGAGGCATTGCGCGCCAAACACCCACCTGCGCCCGCTTCTCCACCTGACTGGACATTCCCCACACCTGACTCCCACCTATCTGCACCGTTCACGGTCTTCTCCAAGGTGTTGGGACGCTGTGAGATGGGAGTTGGAGCTGGCCCCTCAGGAACAACGTTTGAGCACTTGCGCGATGCAGCGCTGATCAACGCTTCAGTGGGAAAACACCTGCACGTACTCGTCAACACAATCCTAACATGAAAATTACCACATGCAGTAGCGGACCTTCTCACCGGTTCACGCTTGATTGCTCTCACGAAGCCAGATGGGGGGACGCGGCCGATCGCCACTGGCGAAAGTCTCACACGTCTTGCAGCTAAGACTGCAGGCGCTGCTCGTGATTTTTTCTGGCCACACCAGTTCGGCGTGGCGGTTCTCGGGGGTGCAGAAGCGATCATTCACACGATATGCACTTACCTCACTGTGAACCGGAGAGCTCTGGTTTTGCAAGCCGGCTTAGCGAACGCATTCAACAGCGTTGACCGGGCGGCCATCGCAGCGTCTCTTCGCGGATCTCCGCTAGCTCCATTGCTGCCATTGGTGAAGCTGTCTTACGGCCAGCCTTCTGCCCTTTGCCTGGACGCCGGATTTTCACACCCACCTCTTTTGAGCGAAACAGGGGTGAGGCAAGGAGATCCCCTCGGCCCTCTGTTGTTTGTTGCCGCTATACACCCCGCGCTTACAAGCACGGTGCTGGCCTTCCCGTCCGTGGTATGCTTGGCATACGCGGATGATGTTACCTTTCTTGGAGAAGCAGCACCGTGTGCGGCGGCGTTTGACAACTTCACAGGAAACCTCGGGGAGATTGGGCTGCGCCACAACCCGACGAAGTGTGCAGCATGGTCCCAAGTGGGTCGACGGTCAGCAACACTACCACAAGGCGTACCTTTCACTGGCGATGGTGTAAAGGTGCTGGGCATCTTCATAGGTGGCAACGACGCGACGACCGCTTTCTTACGCAGCAGCCTTGACGCGATGGGAGCCCCCCTACGCTTAATCTCGCGAATGGAGCTGCAGATGGCATCCCTCTTGCTTACTCGGTGCATTTCACGGCGCGACTCATACGTAGCCCGAACCACACCGGTCGAGGAGTGGTCAGACTGGGGCAAGAGGCTGTTCGAGACACTGCTGACGGCCTGCGGCATACGTCAGCCAAGGGGGGAAGCAGAAATCACACGTACCTGGGCCCAAGCCTCCCTCCCGATCTCGCTTGGGTGCTTGGGCCTAGCAGGCCCCCTGGTGGAAGGCCGCATTGGATTCCTCGCAAGCTAAACAAAGGCTCAGCATCTGCTCACCTCCCTTGACGAGTCAACCGTTGGAGCATTAGGAGAAACACAGATCCATATGGCTGGACCCTTCCTCAACACGGCGCCGCTTTTTGACCGGCTTGAGAGGTGTGAGGAGTCTTTGCCGGACGATGCGAGGGAGCTGCTACAGAGTGATCGTGCTGCTCCTAAAGGTGTGAAGCTGCAGCATGGACTGGCAATTGCGGTCCATGGGCGGCGCTATGCTGAGCAGTTGCAGGCCACACGCACCATGCAGCTCAACCCTCTTAGCAGGCACACACAGCGCATGTTATCCTTCTCTGGGTATGGGGCAGGGGACTGGCTCAATGCGGTCCCCTTTAACACGTCGCTACGCCTCGCCCCAGCACACTTTGCCAACGCGCTCCAGTTCCGGAAGGGCCTTCCCTCCTCAGCACCTGGCGATTGTGACTGCCGCAAGACGGTGGCCACCACAGACAGGCAGCTGCCTAACCACTTACTACGCTGCGACACAGGGGGAGGAAGGACAAATACGCACAATGAGCTGCAGGACGAGTGTGTGCTAATGGCGTACGATGCAGGCTTCAGGGCTCACTGTGAGACAATAGCCTTCTGCCCTGTTGACAACAAGAAGGCCGACGTTGCCATACGGGACCGGTCCACGGGAGCAGTTTGGATTGGGGGCGTGACAATCACGGACCCAATCAGCTCTCGTGACCCCAACGCGGTCAAGGGAAGGGGCTGGGCAACCCGTGAGGCGGCTGAGAAAAACGTTTCCGACTATAGTGGCTCGACGGCCTCATGGGTCGGATTCTTCCCTCTAGCCGTCGAGACGTATGGCTGCCCGGGCGCGGAAGTGCCTGTATTCCTCAAGTTGCTAGACAATACCGCCGCCCGCAAGCACTTACCAGGCAACTAAGCTGCTGCACAAGTTTTGCCAGAGGTGGTATGTGGCGCTGCAACGCGCCCAGTCCGTGAGCTTCATGACGAAATGCAACCACGCGGCTCAGGTGGAAAACCCACCTGTGGGGGGGCCGGGCGAAGGCATGTCCCTTGGGGACAGCCTTGCCATCCTGGAGCCGGCACTAGAGCTCCCGTAGATGGAGCACAACAGTGAGTAGGATATTGGGTGGGGTTTAGGGCCTGAATTGCATGCTATATACTCACGTGCATGTCTGTACTAGTTTGGATCTAATACAAGGACCGCTTGAGAGAGAGAGAGAGAGAGAGAGAGAGAGAGAGAGAGAGAGAGAGAGAGAGAGAGAGAGAGAGAGAGAGAGAGAGAGAGAGGGTTAGCCTCTGCCCTCTGCCCTTGGTTTCTAAGCTATTTAAGAGGCTGTTCTAGCTTCCTTTGCTCATTATTCACTTGGCGGCCGGATTTTTTCGCTCGTTCGAGAGAGCGAGAGAGAGAGAGAGAGAGGGTTAGCCTCTGCCCTCTGCCCTTAGCCTCTGCCCTTGGGTTTCCGAGCTATTTAAGAGGCTGTTCTAGCTTCCTTTGCTCATTATTCACTTGGCAAGTGAAGGCACACACAGTTGTTCATATTCAAAGGCATTACAAGCATGGCATTTTCTACGGCAGCCTAGCCAAGCAAAACAAGCATGGGGCGAACGGAGCCCGCGTCTACATGCGGTGAGCTCCAAGGGCGTGAAGAACGCCTGTCAGGGTGCGCCACAGCTCCCGGAATACAAGCGTGCTTGCGCCGATCGCCGCGGCTCTAGATCATGCGCGCAAGTGCCGCCTCAGACCCCGGACAGCCTCGTCAAGCTGTCCCGCAGCAGCAGCGCCACCCTCCGCGGGCTCAGCCAGCACGGGTGCCAGTAGCACTGCGAGCTGGTTTGCCGCGTCCAAGCATGTCTCACGCGGGCGGTCACGGAACGTCTCAGTTGGGATCACGGGGAGGGACGAGTAAGCAACAACCTGTATCAACAGCAACGCGTGGAGACTCTCCGCAAGGCGGTGGAGCTGGCCGAGCGTCGCCTCGGGAACACGCGTCTGCGGAGGCTGAAGCGCCTCCGCCAGGAACAGGAGCGGCTCATCAGCAGCAACATGATGAGAATACTGAGTCGCCGCCGCGCCACCACCCGCGGACACAAATTCCACCCCCGCAACAGGCGGAGCCGGCGGCAAATGGAGACGCGATCCAGGAGCGGGTGCCGAGGCAGCGGGAGCAGGAGCCGTTGGGCGGTGAACCTGAGGAGGGGGTGCAGCGACAAGCGGTGGACTCAAGGGGAGCACAGGCTGGCGGGGAGCCTCGTGGGCTGGCGAGGCGCGCATCGAACTGCTCTGGCTCTGCGCCGCCCTCTCCTCGCGTACCGCCCTCGACACTTCCCGCTGAAGATCTGCCATCGTCACGGGCGGGCGGTACCCCCCACCACCACCGCGCCTGCGGGGACCCCTCCAGTCCCCCTGACCACCGGGGTGAGCAGGCCAGTGAGACTGCTGCTGGTAACGCCGTGGAGAATCACGCCGGCGACGAGACGACTTGCGCTCCTGGTGAGCCGCGGGGGAATGGGGGCGAGACACGCGGCGGTCAGGTGACGGGGGGCGTGAGGGCTGATCTGCCGAGGCCATCGGCGTCACAGCAGGCGCGGATTGACCCGCTGCTGAAGGCGCAACCGACGGAGCCGGGCCGCCAGTGGTGGCGGACGCCGCTTTCGGTGACGAAGCAGAAGCCGGAGCAGGCACACCGAGGACAGAAGCGGGCGGTGCAACGGGGGCGCCAGGGACAGGAACAGGGGGATCAACACCATCCCCAGCAGGAGCAGATGCCAACGGCTCAACAAGGAGAGCCAGGGGACCAAGAGCTGCAGCCGGAGCGGACGGAACAGCAACAGGGGCAGACGGGCCAGCCTCTGGCGCGACAAGGGGATCCGCGGGTGCGTGGGGAAGAGTCCTTTCAGAGACTGTTGTCACGGGTTTCGGATCCGGCGGTACAGGGGGATTTGTCGCCATGGTCGCCCTTTCGGGCTCCGGCGGAGGCCTTGCGGCCACAGCCGACCAGGCGGCAATGCGCTCTGGCGACGGCGCAGGCGCACCGGCAATCACCATCTCAAGAGCAGGGAAGCCGCGGGGCTAGGAGACAAGCTGTAAGCGGAGCAGGCAGAGGACCGGAGAACAGATACCAAGCAGCGGCACGAATGGCTTTAAATAATCTGGAGGCGACTAATGACGAAGACGAGTTAAACGACCCTTCTTATATGGAAGAAGCCCTCCCCGTGAGCGAGGACGAGGACACGTAGGAGGAGGAAGGCAGGGCGAGGGAGAGACCAGGGAGAAGGGAAGCGGTAGTAGGGCACACAGCCGTGCAAGTACCACAGATGGCTCAACCACCGTCCGATGCCGATCGGACGAGTGCAATTCCAATTCCGAACGCTGCTGCGAGGCCGAGCCGCGCTGGGCGAAATCGAACCGCCACTGCCGGTATCGCGACGCGCCCTTTCGCACCAATTCCCCGCTATTTTTCACCTGACGACTTAGCGAAGCGGACAGATCTATTCGCTGCCATCGTGAATTGGGACATTGCAGCACTATGCGACAGTCGTCAGCCTTCACTGTCGCGGCGTTTACCGCCAAACCTCTGTCAGCTGTTTTCGCTGGCATTACTGACACCGTTACTCCACTTATCACGAAACCCCGAATCGGAAACGGGATGGCGCCTGCTGCTGTTTCTCCCGCGCCTGACACTTCGCCAAACCTCGCCACAGCGACCGAACTGGCCGAGTGTCATGGCCCGGCTCCGAGCCTTCCAGCGTGGCGAATGGGAGCAGTTGTACCGGGACGCGGTGGACGCAGTCAACACACCGCCACCGCCACGAGACCAGCCAGATGCGACTGGAGTCATCAGCCGTGCGGAGGGCCTGGCGAAACGTGGCAGCCTGGGCCGAGCCGTGCTGGCCCTGGAGTCAACGCCCGTCTACACTCCCAGCCCAGAAATATTGGAGGAGCTGCGCCAAAAGCACCCACCTGCTGCACACGAGGCAGTAACATGGCCCGTGCCACAGGGGTCAAAGCGGTCAATCCCCCACCCCGACTTTGCCAAAATTTTGGGAAGATACGAGAATGGGGTGGGAGCCGGACCGTCGGGCATGACATTTGAGCACATGCGCGACGCGGCGATTACCAATGCAATGGGCAGCACCCATCTGCACGCCTTGGTTAACACCATCCTGGGGGGAAAATTGCCAGGCTCAGTCGCAAACCTTCTGACGGCGTCACGACTCATAGCCCTCGCCAAGCCAAGGGGAGGGGCTAGGCCAATCGCGATCGGCGAATGTCTGACGAGGCTGGCAGCCAAGGCTGCCCTGTTAGCCATGGGGAAGCAGCCCGCGATTTTTTTCTACCGCTACAGTACGGGGTGGCAGTGCCAGGTGGAGCAAAGGCCGTAATCCACGTAGCCAGGGCTTTCTTGGATGCCCGCCCGGACAGCCTGGTCCTGCAGGCCGACATTTCCAACGCGTTCAATAGCATTTCGCGAGAAGCAATCGCCACCGCGTTACAAGAGCCCGCCCTCTCGCCACTACTGCCGCTAGTGAAGCTGACATACGGTAACCCGTCGCAACTGCTCCTAGACTCCAACTTCAACTGCGAACCACTGACAAGCGAACGCGGCGTCCGCCAAGGTGACCCACTTGGCCCACTTCTGTTCGCAGCGGGGATACACGCCACACTTTGCGAAACAGCAGAAGCACACCCTGACGTGCTTTGCTTGGCGTATGCGGACGAGGTCACTTTCCTGGGTGACACAGCGCGCACCGTAGCGGCATTTACACATTTCACGGCCAAGTTGGCGCACTTAGGCCTCGAGCATAATCCACAAAAGTGTGCAGCCTGGAGCTCAAGCGCGGTCGAGCCAGCTCGCCTCCCGCCAGGAGTGCCGTTCTCTAAAGACGGCGTGCGGCTATTGGGTAGCTTCGTGGGGCCTGATAGCGGCGCAGCTAAGTTCCTAGCGGGACAACTCGCCGAGATGGCAAAGCCCCTATCCCTTCTCGAGCGAGCAGATCCCCAGGTAGCAGCACTGCTGATCACGCGATGCATCTCACGACGAGTCGCTTATCTCACTAGGACGACGCCTCTCCTCCACCTCCCGCGAGATAGATGGAGCCAGTGGGACAGAGACCTGCTCACCACGCTTCTCACATTGTGCGATATCCGCGTTCCGACATGTAGAACCGAGCAAGCGCGGGTCTGGGAACAAGCATCGCTGCCGCCATCGTTAGGAGGCCTAGGCATCACAGGCCCCCTCATTGAGGGGGTATATGGCTTCACAGCGAGCTTTACACAGGCGGCGCTCTTTCTCAGCAGCTTATCGCTAGATCCGGAGACCGCTCTGACGCACGCGTGGAACCACATGCTAATGCCGCGGGATGACAGCACACCGCTACACACATGGCTGACCGAGTGCGAGGAGGCGCTTCTGTTAGATGCGCGAGAGATACTAGAAAAGGAGCGGCTTGAAAGGTCTGACATCAGGCTGCAGCACGTGCTAGGACTCAAGGTCCACGGGAGCAGATATGCAGTGCAGGTGCGGGCGACGAGGCGCATGCAGCCGAATCCACTCGCGGGCCACACGCAGCGGATGTTTTCACTGACTGGCTACGGCACTGGCGACTGGCTCACCGCGATCCCCATCGCTCCCACGAGGCGGATAGGGCCAGTGCACTTCGCCAACGCTGTGCGCTTCCGACTCGGCCTGTCGTTTTCCACTCCCAAGAATTGTGACTGCGCGGAACACACGGCCATCACTGACCCCCGCCTCCCAAATCACATGCTCCGCTGCGGTACGGGCAAGCACCGCACGAACACGCACAACGAGCTGCGGGATGCCTGCGTTAGCTTGGCGCAAGATGCGGGGTTTATAGTACACAGGGAGTCGGCTGCCTACTGCCCTATCGAGGAACAAACGGCCGACTTCACCATGACGGATAGAAGCAGTGGGGCAGTTTACATCTGTGACGTTACCATCACCGACCCTATCAGCACGAGGGACTCGGAGGTGCAAAAAGGCAGGGGATGGGCGGCACATGAACAAGCCGACAAGAAAATCAAGCATTACGCCAACTGCCCAGAGACGGTTGGCTTCTTCCCACTCGCAGTAGACACCTACGGCTGCCCATGCGCGGAGGTACCTGTCTTCCTCAAGCTCCTGGCAGACACTGCGGCTCGGCGCCACTTCAACGCCGTCTCAAAATCTTTCTATGCCGCAAAGTTTCTGCACCAATTCAGGCAGAGGTGGTCGGTGGCCCTTCAGAGGGCTCAATCCGTGGGACTCCTAATCAAGTTGGGTGAGGCAGCAGCAGCAGAAAACCCACCGTAGGAGGAATAGGGCAGGAGTTGCACCTAGGGAACTGTTTTGCGGTGGTAGAGCCTCTCCTTGAGCTCTAGAGGGTGAAGTGGTTTAGCTCTGTGGTTTTGTTTGTTTGTTTTGGATTGTGCCTTCTTGCATGTGTGTACCTATCTGACCTATCAATATACGGACCATTAGAGAGAGAGAGAGAGAGAGAGAGAGAGAGAGAGAGAGAGAGAGAGAGAGAGAGAGAGAGAGAGAGAGAGAGAGAGAGAGAGAGCACGTGTCACGCTGGCGGCCGCGGAAAGTCTCAGGAGGAATCACGGGGAGGGACGAGTGAGCAAGTACTTGAATCAGCAGCAACGCGTGGAGACTCTCCGCGAGTCGGTGGAGCTGGCCAAGTGTCGCCTCGGGAACACGCGTCTGTGGAGGCTGAAGTGCCTCCATCAGGAACAGAAGCGGCTCTTCCGCAGCAACATGGTGAGAATACTGCGCCGACGAGCCACCACCCGCAGCAACAAACCCCACTCCCGCAACAGGCGGAACCGGCGGCAGATGAAGACGGGAACCGGGGGGAGGTGCCGAGGCGGCGGGAGCAGGAGCCGGCGGGAAGTGAACCGGAGGCGGGGGTGCGGCGACAGGCGGCGGACTCACGGGGAGCACAGCCTGTCGAGGAGCCTCAAGGGCGGGCGAGGCGCGCATCGAACTACTCCGGCTCTACGCCGCCCTCTCCTCACGCACCGCCCTCGAGACTTCCCGCTGTAGATCCGCCATCGTCACAGGCGGGCGGTACCCCCCACCACCGCCACGCCCGCGGTGACCCCTCCAGTCCCCCTGACCGCCGGGTTGGGCAGGCCAGTGAGTTTGCTGTTGGTAGCGCCGTGGAGAGTCTCGCCGGCGCCGAGACGTCGCGCGCTCCTGATGGTGCGCGGGGGAATGGGGGCGAGAAGGGCGGCGGTCAGGCGACGGGGGGCGTGACGGCTGACCTGCCAGGGCCGCCGGTATCGCCGCAGGCGCGGACTGGCCTGCCGCTGGGGGCGCAACCGACGGAGCCGGGCCGCCAGTGGTGGCGGACGCCGCCTTCGGTGACGAAACAGACGCCGGAGCAGGCACGTCGGGGACAGAAGCGGGCGGTGCAACGGGCGCGCCAGGGACAGGAACAGGGGGATCAGCAACACCCCCAGTAGGAGCAGACACAGTCGGCTCGACAAAGAGAGCCAGGGGAACAGGAGCAGCAGCCAGAGCGGACGGAGCAGCAGCAGGAACGGACGGGCCAGCCCCTGACACGGCAAGGGGATCCGCGGGTGCGTGGGGAAGAGTCTTTTCAGCGTCTGTTGTCACGGGCCTCGGAGCCGGCGGTATAGGGGGCTTCGTCGCCGTGGTCACCTTTCCAGGCCCCGACTGAGGCTGGGCGACCACAGCTGACCAGGCGGCAGCGCGCTCTGGCGACGGCTGAGATGAACCGAAAATCACCATCTGGAGAGCGGGGAGGTCGCGGAGCTAGGAGGCAGGTTACTAGCGGGACGGGCGGAGGTCCGGAGAACGGGTATCAAGCAGCAGCACGAATGGCTTTAACGGCTCTGGATGCAACTAATGAGGAAGACGAGCTAAGGGACCCATCTTATAGGGAAGAATCCCTCCCTCCCAGCGAAAACGAGGGGATTGAGGACGAAGGCAGTGCGAGGGATGCAGCGGGAAGAAGAGTAGCAGGGGTAGGACACTCAGCCACGCAAGTAGCATAGGCGGATCATCGACCGTCCGATGTCGATCGAACGGGTGAAATTCTAACCCCAATCCCACCAGCGCGGACGGGCCGGGCTCAACGAAATCGAACCGCCACTATCAATGTCGTGACACGCCAAACCACTCCGACTCCCCGCTATTTTTCGCCGGATGAGCTGGCGAAGCGAGCAGACCTGTTCGCAACCATCGCGAGCTGGGACATCGCAGCACTCTGCGACAGTCGTCAGCCTTCGCTGTCACGCCGTTTACCGCCAAATCTGTGCCAACTGTTCTCGCTGGCGCTTCTGACACCGTTACTCCACCTATCGCAAAACCCTGAATCCGAAGCGGGTTGGCGCCTGCTGCTGTTTCTCCCGCGCCTAACACTTCGCCAGACCTCGCCACAAAGACCGAACTGGCCGGGTGTCAAGGCCCGGCTCCGAGCCTTTCAGCGCGGCGAATGGGGGCAGCTGTACCAAGACGCGGTCGACGCAGTCAACACACCCCCACCGCCACGACACCAGCCTGACACGACCGGAGTCATCAGTCGAGCCGAGGGCCTGGCGAAACGTGGCAGTCTACGCCGGGCCGTGCTGGCCCTGGAGTCAATACCCGTCTGCACCCCGAGCCCGAAAATTTTGGAAGAGCTGCGTCAAAAGCACCCGCCAGCAGTACACGAAGCAGTGACCTGGCCCGAGCCACCCGAGTCAAAGCTATCCATCACCCATGCTGAGTTCGCCAAGATTCTGGGAAGATGCGAGAACGGGGTGGGAGCTGGACCTTCGGGTACAACATTTGAGCACCTGCGCGACGCGGCGATCACCAACGCAATGGTCAGCACCCATCTGCACGCCTTGGTTAATACCATGCTTGGAGGAAATTTGCCAGGCCCGGTCGCAAAAATTCTGACTGCGTCACGGCTCATAGCTCTGGCCAAACCTGGAGGAGCCCGGCCAATTGCGATAGGCGAATGTTTGACAAGGCTGGCAGCCAAGGCAGCCCTGGTAGCCATGGGTGAAGCTGCCCGCGAACATTTCCTGCCACTTCAGTACGGCGTGGCAGTGCCAGGTGGAGCAGAGGCGGTAATCCACGCGGCCAGGGCATTCTTGGATGCCCGTCCCAACAGCCTGGTCCTGCAAGCCGATATTTCAAACGTATTCAACAGCATTTCGCGACATGCCATCGCTACTGCGTTACAGGAGCCCGGACTCTCGCCTCTGCAGCCGTTTGTAAAACTGACCTACGGTAACCCGTCGCAACTACTCCTGGACGCCAATTTCAACTGCAAACCGCTGCAAAGTGAAAGGGGCGTTCGACAGGGAGACCCTCTAGGCCCATTACTGTTTGCAGCAGGGATACACCCCGCGCTCTGTGAGATTGCAGAGGCACACCCCGACGTGCTTTGCTTGGCGTATGCGGACGATGTCACCTTCCTGGGTGACACATCGTGCACTGTAACAGCTTTCACAGATTTCACAGCCAAGCTAGCACATCTGGGCCTAACGCATAATCCGCAGAAATGCGCGGCCTGGAGCGCAACCACAGTCACACAAGCACAACTCCCACCCGGAGTGCCGTTTTCTAAGGATGGAGTACGGCTTCTGGGTAGCTACGTGGGGACGGACGCTGGAGCAGCAAAATTCCTCTCCGGACAGCTAGACGAGATGACGAAGCCGTTACCGCTTATAGAACGTGCCGACCCCCAAGTAGCCGCACTGCTCCTCACGCGATGCATCTCCAGACGAGTAGCCTACCTCATTCGAACGACACCGCTCCACCTACTCCCCCGCGACACCTGGAGCCAGTGGGGTCGGGACCTGCTCATTACCTTACTCACCTCATGCGACATCCGCATGCCAACGTGTCGCACCGAGCAAGCGCGTGTGTGGGAACAGGCGTCGCTGCCCACGTCGCTAGGCGGCATAGGCATTACAGATCCGCTCATAGAAGGAGTCTACGGTTTCACAGCGAGTTTCACCCAAGCGGCGCTATTCTTGTCCTCCCTGGCGCTAGAACCAGAGAACGCTTTGACGATCGCTAAGAACCATATGCTACTGCCAAGGGATGACAACACACCGATGCATTCATGGCTCACGGAGTACGAAGTGGCCCTGCCACTAGACGCGCGCGAGATCCTGGAGAAGGAGCGGCTGGAGCGATCGGATATTAGGCTACAACACGTGCTCGGGCTAAAGGTGCACGATAGCAGATACGCCGTGCAGGTCCGGGCAACCAGGCGCATGCGGCTGAACCCACTCTCAGGCCACACGCAGCGGATGTTCCCGCTGACTGGATATGGCACCGGCGATTGGCTGACCGCGATCCCCATTGAACCCACGAGACGGATAGGCCCCGTACACTTCGCCAACGCCGTTCGCTTCCGCCTGGCCCTCCCCTTTTCAACCCCTAAGAACTGCGACTGCGCAGACAAGACAGCTATCACTGATCCCCGCCTGCCGAACCATCTCCTCCGCTGCGGCATGGGCAAACATCGCATCAACACTCCCAACGAGCTACGGGATGCGTGCATTAGCATGGCGCAACACGCAGGATTCATAGTCCACGGCGAGTCGGCTGTCCACTGCCCTATCGAGGAACAAACCGGTGATTTCACCTTGACGGATAGAAGCAATGGGGCGGTTTATGTTTGTGATGTCACCATCACAGACCCCATAAGCACAAGGGACCCAGAGGCGCAGAAAGGCAGGGGATGGGCGGCACGGGAACAAGCGGATAAGAAGATCAAGAATTATGCCAACCGGCCGGAGACGGTTGGCTTTTTCCCACTGGCAGTCGACACCTATGGCTGCCCATGCGCGGAAGTACCAGTCTTCCTACAGCTACTAGCGGACACAGCGGCTCGGCATCATTTCAATGCCGACTCTAAATCCTTTTATGCCGCCAAGTTTCTACACCAGTTTCGGCAGCGATGGTCAGTGGCCCTTCAAAGGGCCCAATCAGTGGGTCTTCTACTCAAGTTGGGCGAGGCGGAAGCAGCAGAGAACCCGCCTGTAGGGGGTATCGGTCAAGAGTTACACCTAGGGGACTGCTTTGCGGTGGTAGAGCCCTTCTTGGAGCTCTAGGGGAACAGTGAGTAGGTATTTGGTGTTTTGTTTGTTACATCCATACTCTGCATGCTTGTACCTTGCTGCTATATCAATACAAGGACCATTAGAGAGAGAGAGAGAGAGAGAGAGAGAGAGAGAGAGAGAGAGAGAGAGAGAGAGAGAGAGAGAGAGAGAGAGAGAGAGGATCCTAGCCTCTGCCCTCTCCCTTTGCCCTCTGCCCTCTCCCTTTTGAGCTATATAAGGGGCCTTTCAAGGCCTCTTCTCTTCATTATTCTGTTTGGTGGCAGAAAATTTTCCTCGTTCGTTCGAGAGAGCGAGAGAGAGAGAGAGAGAGGATCCTAGCCTCTGCCCTCTCCCTTTGCCCTCTGCCCTCTCCCCCTTTGAGCTATATAAGGGGCCTTTCAGGGCCTCTTCTCTTCATTATTCTGTTTGGTGGCAGAATCGTTTTCTCGTTCGTTCGAGAGAGCGAGAGAGAGAGAGAGAGAGAGAGAGAGAGTGAGAGAGAGAGAGAGAGAGAGAGAGAGAGAGAGAGAGAGAGAGAGAGAGAGAGAGAGAGAGAGAGAGAGAGAGCGTCACGGCAAACTCCAAACCTTGCCGTCACGAGCCAGACCCGGAGGGTGTTTGCGCCAGAGCGGAGGGGTTGGTTCAGAAAGCAAACATGGCGAAAGCGGTGGCAGCGCTGCGAACTTCGCCGCTGGCAGAAACGTCGCAGGTAACCTTGGAGACACTTCGCACGAAACACCCCCGGGCGGAATCAGCGATACCCGAGGTTACCGGAGGTTACAACACATCCGAGCTCGCCATTGGGGCGGATTCTTTTCGCGAAGTACTGGCGAAGTGCCCAAACGGAATAGGAGCGGGCCCATCAGGCACGTGCTTTGAACACCTCCGTGACCCAGCTCTAACAAACGGGGAGGTTTTTGTGCAACTCCACAAAGTAGTAAACGGGCTCCTTAGCGCATACCTGAACGTGCAGCTGCAAGACCTCCTACTCCCAGCCAGGCTGATAGTGCTCGAAAAACCGGACGGAGGCGTGAGACCCATAGCGATTGGTGAGGCGATCCTTAGAATCGCGGCCAAGTCAGCTCTTAGCGAACTCGCGACGGAGATCCGCGGGTATTTTCTACCGGTTCAATTCGGCGTCGCCGTCCCCGGGGGGGCCGAGTGCATCATTCACACGACCCGCACGCTCCTCGCCGAAGATCCGTCAAGAATTGCGATCCAGCTGGACATAGAGAATGCTTTCAACTCAGTAGAACGGGGGTGCTTCCTAGAGACGATGCAATGGACAGACCTCACCCCGCTCTTACCGTTTGTACGCACCCTATACGGCAAATCCTCAAGGCTTCTACTCGACAGTGGCTTTACTGCGCCTTCAATCGACAGCGCACGCGGCGTGCGCCAGGGGGATCCGCTCGGCCCCATGCTCTTTGCTGCGGCGATACAGCCGGCCCTTCTCACGACGGCGGCCGCAGTCCCCACCGTCACCATGATGGCGTATGCGGACGACATCACAGTGATTGGCGAGTCGGCGGAGGCATCGCGAGCGGTCACGATGTTGTGTGACAAACTACTGGGACTCGGCCTTCGGTGCAACCTCGCCAAGTCAACGGCATGGAGCCCCTCGGGGGTCACGGGAAATCTACCGGAAGGACTGGTGGCGGCGGTGGATGGTATCAAGGTGTTGGGGAGCCCAATTGGCACGTTAGCGTATAGCAGGCGGGTGGTGAGGGCGACGCTGGAGACTACAGCAGCACCGCTTGGGCTTATCGGCAAGCTCCACCCCCAACACGCACTGCTGTTGCTGACACGGTGCATCTCCCGTAGGGTCTCGTACCTGCTGCGAACCACGCCTGCGGATGTGCTCCCACTAAGGGAATGGAGGGAATGGAGCGAGAGGCTCCTATGGACGGCGCTCAAGGCGGCACACCTACACACGCCGACAAAGGA